AACTCCTCTACTCCACAATAAACTCCTCTACTCCACAATAAACTCTACAATAAACTCCTCTACTCCACAATAAACTCTACAATAAACTCCTCTACTCCACAATAAACTCTACAATAAACTCCTCTACTCTACAGTGAACTCCTCTACTCCACAGTGAACTCCTCTACTCCACAGTGAACTCCTCTACTCCACAGTGAACTCCTCTACTCCACAGTGAACTCCTCTATTCCACTACTCTTGTGTTATACGATGACTACATGGGGGCTGTTGAAATCCTTGAAAGAGCTGAACAAGTTCAATCGGAGAGACTCCTCCAAGCTCAGCGAAGACCACAAGGGCCCAATACCTCACAGGTGAAAGCTCACGGTGCTTCTCTCCCTGCAGAGACGGGACAGTCCGAGTCCAGCTAGCCGGACAACATCAGCGCAGCCCATTCTCTGGGATCCTTCGAGAAACGCTTGAATGAGATCTTGACATATTTATTCCCTCAATATATCCCAACTTCGAAGAGCAGCACTGGTATGAGCAAGAGTGATAAAGATAACAGATGCTGGCTGTGGCTCCTTTACATCTTTTATTTTAGCGCTTGTCAGTAAGAATAAGAATTCAATATGGAGGAATAACCTGGAAAAGCCTTTCGAGAGAGCGGTTCACAACTGGTGTGCTTCTGTCAGGAAGCACAGTTTTGCTACAAATCATCCAGTGTTGCATAATTGTTTTCAGCACATTTCTGCCTCGCAAACCATAGTGTTATGAGCATTTCCTGCAGGTTTACTATGGTTTCCTGTACTGTGAGCATACTACAAATATACTATACATATGGCGTAAGTAATAGACATACTGTATATGACATATCCCCCAGTATACTAAAGCACAGAGGAACAGAAAGACACAGCAAAACCATTGGAGGTGCCGTCCTTCAGATGAGATGTGAAACTGCTGTGCTGACCACTTGGTGATGGACCTGTTCATGAGCTTAGTGGTGGTAACCTGGCATCTTTGCTAAGGTTGGCATACAGACACACTGACTGACTGGACACTCCAGTACATGAACATTGCACTGAGAGAGAGAGGGGTTCATACAGACACACTGACTGACTGGACACTCCAGTACATGAACACTGCACTGAGAGAGAGGAGTTAATAAAGACACACTGACTGACTGGACACTCCAGTACATTAACACCATTAATAAAAACACACAATAAGTGATTTACACTGAATCTATGGATTCTAGCAAGCCAGGATTATTTCTGCTGGAAATAAGGTGGCCAATACTTGTACTAGATTTCCACTGACCTGCTTGTGTTTCAGTGATGGAGCTCCTCCCTCTTACTCAGCGCAGTGTCAGTGTGCTGTAGTGTCCAGGCCATCAGCCAGTCAGATTGTCAGTAACCCCCCTCCTGGCCTCTCTCTCCCTCTCCAATCAGAAATCAGTGAGGGAAATAGAGCAGAAGTCAGCAGGGGGCTGATCTGTGAGGAAAACAGTAGAATGTGACAGAGAGAGGAGATAAAGCACTGATGACGAGAAAGAGGGAGAGTGAGATGGAGGAGAAAAAACAGATTCATGGGGAAAAGCAGGGAATTCAGGGAATTGTCCTGAAGTGCATTGAAAGACGCTCTATAATAATTGGATTGATTGATTGACCGAGTGAGCGATTGAATGAATGTGCTCTCAACGAGGGCTGCGTCACTCCTCCAGCAGCGGGTGCTGTGTGCTCTGTGAGGCTCGTGGTCTGAAGTGCACTGCTCTAATGATGATCCGGTTTTCCCACAGTGACACATGTTTTTTATACGGAGCACTGCAGAAGGGGGGAGGAGGTATTCAAAGCAAAATCATTTTCCGATTCCAAATTTAAATACCGGATAGCAAAACTGAAGAACAGCGGGAGTCCCCATTGATTAAGGAACGCGTCTTGGAACAGAAGCTGATTCACAGAGACGCACGTCGAGAGAAGAGACTAATTCCTCACGCATTCACCTACCAGGTTTTGTGCGCTGACACTAATGAAATGCAAAAAAAAAAAAAACAGATTTCGAGTGCATTAATTTGAATGCTTTTACCGCATCATACAACTGGACAGAACCTGTCAAGCAGAACAGGAAATCCGACAAATACACAGGGAAAATCAATACAGAGACTCACCCCTTGATCAAGCGCTTTTAACGTCTTTGTGAAAGGAGTCCGGAGCAGGGAGCAAAGGTTCTGGTGCCACTCGAAGGACGCGGAGCTGAAAGTGTGGCTCAGAGTCTGCATGGTGCCTTTTACACGCTGAGCGAGCAACACGCACCCGACAACAGTTAAAGACTCCCAACTCCTGTCCACCAGGGACTCGCACTCCCACCACCAGAAGAGAGGAAGATGACCAAACACCAGCCCTGAGAGGCATTTCAGAATACCAGACCCTGCAGGCAGATGAAAGCACCTGGAGCTTTTTAGTTGTGGATTTTTGGTTAGGAATCGGAAGGGAAAAGAGGATTCAGGTTTTTAAAGGTCTGCAAAGCTATTTTGCAAAGCCCAGACCCAGAGTTAGATCCAGACCTAGAGATATAGGTGCTTACCTGGGTCTGCAAGGTGTTCCCTGTAGCAGACCCTGGAACACTACCACCCACCACAAACAAGCTTAATTCATTAACTGAAGCCAAACTAATGGTTGGATTGGAATAAAGTGATGAAGTTACAGGCAAGTTTTATTTTTACTACTGCAAAGAGTTTTTTTTTTCTGTACGAAATGCAGTAGTTGAAGGGTGACCACCAACATGAAAACAGTTCGGATTAATCCCATTAGTCAATTAAGAGCTTGATTTTGGTGTATAATCCTGTAGGTCTGCTAGAGTACTGGATCAGGACTGGGCGCCCCTGAAATACAGTTTCCAAAGCCTGAAGAGGAGACGCACACTGTCTGAGATCACCTCCGAAATCCCCAGATTACAGCTTGAGCATGTCCCGTATATGAACCCCAAATTCAGGAATGATACAGAATTTTCTCTCCTCAATTGAGGAACGTCGAACTGTCACTTAAAGTTCCCGCTGAGAACCTAGGGATTTAAAAATCAATTTAAAGGCAGGATGAATCTTTGGGTTTAGAGACGTTTCTGACCAAACATAAAAAGGTCTGTGACCTATACTGGTACTCATGTAGAACTAGACTCACCTGCACACTGGTTTGTCTCCTGCGGGAGGGATCTCTGTAACTATCTACACAGATCAAGTTGTAGATTTAGATGTAGATCAAGCTGTATATGAATGTATGACCCGAATGCACGCAAATCTCGCACAACGTTGATAAAAAAAAATGACATGTGTGTGAAAGTGTGTAATCCTTTCTCTCTTCAATCAAATAAAAAAAAAACAGAAATCAACAAAGATTTTTAATATTAATACCCACTGAGGTTTGGAAATGTCACCACTTTTTAAAAAGAACTTTCTGTATAAGACTCCAGACTCTCTCTTTCAGCTGTTCTCCAGACCTGACAACGACAGGCGTTTAAAGGTTTGATTGGCATTTTAATTTGAGGTTATCGATGAGCTCGAGAGTTTCTCTCTGGGTTGTGCTGTTCTGATACTGATGGGGGTTTTTATCTCAAGGTATGGAAGAGACACGGCTTCTTTCGCTTCCGATGATGATGGGGGAGAGTTAATTAGAAGCTGCAGATGAGCTAGACTAAATTACCCTACAAGCTCCAACGCCAACAGGAGTGTTAATTTAAATGTTTGGGTGAACGAGACATTTTTCCTCAGAGCCGATGATGATGATGATGATGACGGGAGTGGATGAAAACCTGACAGTTTTGCGAAGAGCATCAGTAGCATAAACACCCGCAACCTGACAGAGATTTGAATATTCATGAAGACAGGGATAGTTGCATTATCAATCGCAGGTTCCTAATCATGGCCACTGCTGTGACTCATGGTGGGGCAAAAACAGGAAAAAAATATTAATGATAATCATAATCCTGCCTGCATATTTTCCCATTATGCAGATTCATGCAAAGCAGTTTGTTTAAGGTTTCTATATGCGTGTCATTTAATTAAATACTGACAGCCAGACTGACAGGCAGAGAGAATTACTAGGTATTACGAGAAAGGTTTTTGGCACTTATCTTGAGAAAGCCTTAAATTAAAGGAGTCGTTTTTAATTTTATTCTGTCTCTCTTCTTTATGTTATATAAAAATTCTGAGCTATTTCCAACTCCATTTACAAGAGGCAATTTGTGAGACTTCCAAGCGACTGAAGTGTTAAAGACTTGTGCTCAGTAGGTCCTACAGAACAACATCAATAGCTCCAGTCAAGGCTCTGTGATTCTTCCATCTGTGACTGGAATCCTATGAAACATGTAAACAGTTCCCCTGCATCTCCATCGAGCTCCCAGTGTCTCCAGTGAGCTCCCCGTGACTCCAGTGAGCTCACAAGGACTCCAGTGATCTCCCAGCATCCCAAGTGAACTCACAAGGACTTCAGTGAGCTCCCCATGTCTCCAGTGAGCTTCCAGCATCTCCAGTGATCTCTCAGCGACTCCAGTGATCTCTCAGCGACTCCAGTGATCTCTCTGTGTCTCCAGGGAGCTCCCAGTGACTCAGGTGAGCTCTCTGTGTCTTCAGGGAGCTCCCAGTGTCTCCAGTGATCTCTCTGTATCTCCAAGGGGCTCCCAGTTACTCCAGTGATCTGTGACTCCAGTGATCTCCCAGCGACTCCAGTGATCTCTCTGTGTCTCCAGTGATCCCCCAGTGACTCCAGTGATCCCCCAGTGACTCCAGTGATCTCTCTGTGTCTCCAGTGATCCCCCAGTGACTCCAGTGATCTCTCTGTGTCTACAATGATCCCCCACTGACTCCGGTGATCTCTCCGTGTCTACAGCGATCCCCCACTGACTCCGGTGATCTCTCCGTGTCTTGAGGGAGCTCCCAGTGACTCCGGTTCTCTGTGTGTGTCTTGAGGGAGCTCCCAGTGACTCCGGTGAGCTCGAGTGTCCAGCGCTAACGAAAGACGGCATCACCACCCTGAATGAAATGCACCGAACAGCTCAGCAGCTGATGGGAGAAATGGGGAGGGCAATGCAGCTACAGCTATCCATGCAGTGATGTATTGCATTATGCTCCATGTTTTGGAAGTGCTCTGGTACTTGGTCTTTTTGCAATGATGAGAGCACAGGCATAGTAAGAATTACCGCAGTGGTAAATGAGCCACATAGCTTGTCCTGAAGACCACATCTGGCGGGCATTGTTAGATATCACCCCCCCTCGATCCCCTCTGCCTCCTCGCCCAAATCTGCCTTCCTCTCTCTCGCGCCCGGCATCCCTCTGTCCCACCTCCACCCTCCTCCCTCTCCTTCAATTAGGCTTCTCCCCCGCTGGTTCACCTCCTCTTCATCCCCGCTGCCGATCAATAATTCAGCGCTCTCCCCGGAGTGGCGGCGGACTGCGGGTTTTGATTAAAAATTAAGCTGATCACGGAGATGCCTGAGCGGAAAGCCAGAGAAACGAAAGAGGGAGGCAGGGAGGGGAGGAGGGGGAGCGAGAGAAGGAGAGAGGCCTGGGCCAGTGGGGGAGACAGGGAGGATGGAGGAGGAACGAGAAGGAGAGGGACAGACCCAGCCTGGCGAAAAGGAGGAAAACGGCAGAAGCGAAAGAGTGTGGGGAAACAACGAGACGAAAAGGGAAAGAGACAGAGAGAGGCCGGTGGAAGAGAGGGAGTGAGGCAGAAATAAGAAGAAGGAGAGGCAGAGCGAGAGACTTAATCAGGTGGAACGGATCAATCTTGTTTCGGTCTTGTTTTACTGGAGGTTGTACAAAGGAAACAGCACTGGGGGAAGGAGGAGAGACAGGGAGGCAGAGAGAGAGAGAGGGAGCTCACTGTGCAGGCAGTGTGGTGGGTTTCCACTGCGCTGAGCATGAGAGAGACACGGCAGAGACGCAGAGGCAATGCAGACACACCGATAGACTAGTCAGTACACTAGCAGTGCAGGAGAGGGAGGGGCAGTGTTACAGTCTGACAGACTGGACACTAGACTAGTCAGTACACTAGCAGTGCAGGAGAGGGAGGAGCAGTGTTACAGTCTGACAGACTGGACACTAGACTAGTCAGTACACTAGCAGTGCAGGAGAGGGAGGAGCACAGCTCAGTCTATCAGACCACACTTTGCACAGGGAGAAACCTGTAAGCCACTGGATAATATGTGAAGTGCTCCGTCAATGTGCTTATTTAAAAAATCGATTCATCTCACGGACAGTAAAGACAATAGATGCATCTATGAGATTAACCCAACTAGGAAACAGCTGTCTGGGCTGCTATCATAGACCTGTCGTTGAATATATGAAGTGGAATTAGACGTTCATTTAGATTTATTTAGATTGTATGTGCAGGTGGAGCATCAAAAGAAACCCATCACCCAATTTCTGCATGGGTGTTTTTGACAAGAATGAAATATAAGGGTTTTGGAAAGGATCATTCATCATCATCATCATCATCATCATAATAAAATATCCCCACACTTTTTTAGGACACTCCACTCAAAGCGCTTTACAGATAATGGGGACTCCCCTCCACCAACACCAGTGTGTACTGTTGCGCCTACTGTGCGCATCCTGTGAGATTTAAAGATTAGATATATTTAATTCGAATAGAGATTTTTAAAAATTAATTTAACGTTTGGGTAACATGGTGGCACAGTGGTCAACATTGTTGCCTCGCAGCGCTGGTGTCCTGGGCTCAATTCCTGGGGTGCTGTCTGTGAGGAGTTTGCATGTTCTCCCAGTGTTCATGTGGGTTTCCTCCAGGAGCTCCGGTTTCCCCCCACAGTCCAAAGACAGGCTGATGGGTTACTTGGCGTCTGGGAAAACTGGCCCTGCTGTGAGTGTGTGCGTGTCTGTATGTGTGTGTGTGTGTGTGCCCCGTGACGGACTGGCGTCCTGTCCAAGGTGAGCCCTGTCTTGTACGCATTGCTTGCTGGGAGTTTTCAATCCTGTTGATGACAAGTGCTAACCACCAACCAAGAAAAATTAATTTACCAAACGTCATCAATGTTCAATAAAGTACCATGATGATTATTTTCCTGATAGCTTTTAGAATTTGCTGAAGCTATGGTGACAGGTTTGCTGGTGATGCTATGTATATTATATAGACTGGTGGAAAAAACATCACTAGTAGTATTGCTCACGGACTTTGCAGACAAAAGAGGATTTCTGGGAATTCCTATAGTTTAAATAATAAGACGGGATTCATTTATCCAAAGTGACTTACATTTGTGCCCATTGATGTAGCAGGGCAATTTAACCGGAGAAATCTGATTGAAGCACAGTCCCGTCCTGTTCGAGAACTGATCCTCACAATTCTCTGGTTACGAGTCCAGAGCCCTGATCATGATTCCTTACTGCTGCCATCAGAGAGAAAAAAGACAGGAAACTGTTAATGACACAGCAATTGCATGATGAGATTCCCTGCCTGTGCCTTCACTGCCTCACTGTGTCTTGTTTACAGCGCAGCTCCAGACACTGATAAAGAGGCAGCGTCTTCTGGCATCTTGAATTACAGCACTTACTGCAAATTATATAGGCTAATTTGTGTGCTGATTGTTAACATGTGTTACTCCATCCAGCACTGTGCGCGAACATACTGTAAAGCAAACTACATAGCCATAATACAGCATTAGAGATTACACCAGATCAATGTAAGTTTCCTCAATTACTCCCGATTACCAGTCAAGTCTACCGAAACAGATGATGGCATTTTGTGTTCTCAGAAAACATCCAGTTGTCTATTTAAAAAGAGCACAGCTTGGATCATAGTATTCCATTGCTTTCTACAGCAAATAAACTGCAGCTCTTACCAGCGGTGTCCATGCTTAAACTGGACAGAAAGGTGCCACGTTTCAGAGGTCACCCCTCCTCACTGCCAATGCCTGGTTCTGGAAACAAGGTGCCATTAGTCGGGGGCAGAAAATCTCTCCTTGCAATTAGCAAGTAATTAACAAGGCGCTCCCTGATTTTATGACATCGGACAGTTTAAAAGGTGCTGAAAGGGGGAATATCGGCTTGTCAGATTAAAGCAGCGCTGGACTAGTCTGTTAGAAGGTTAGGGGCCCTGTCCAGAGTGGGCACGCCGCATCCAACTCAGACAGGATGCTGTGCTTGGTCCAACGTTGTCAGAGGTGTCGGCTGAACACGTTTCTGTCCAGCATGGCAGTGGGGCAGACTGAGGTGCACAAAGTCAGAGCGACAGTGCATTCCCAATTTCGACCTGCCGTGGTGTCCTGGAGGATTTTGCAGGACCATGGTTTTTAGACATCGTATCTCCCATTCCCGATTCATTAACTTCAACTTTGGACCAACGCCCTCCTTAAACCTACATTCAGCATCTCAGTCAAAGATAAAACGGCTTGTCTGGGGGAGCAGACAAGAGGCACGCATCACACTGCTCTATCTGTGCTCCTGAATTTCTCTCAGCTGAAGATCTCTATTTCCTTCTTCACCTCGCAGGTGCCTGAAAGCCACGTGTTGTCTTTTTTCAACCCCTACAATCGGATAAGATTAAATTCAACCTTCAGAGCATAGACTTGACTCCAGGAGGCTGGCCGTTTCGTTTCTGAGCAGCCTTCAGTACTACCACTCCGCACCCATACGGAGAACTAGGAATACCGCATGTCTGCAGGTGGACCAGGTAGCCTTTTGCTGTCAGCTTGTACTCCGTTCTGTATCGAGTTCAAAATGCTGCTGGTGTTTCGGGAAGTGGGGTTGAGGGTTTTTTCCAAGGGTAAAGAGATCACATTTACACATAAAGTCTGGGATCCTAATAACTACATAGACCTTTTACAGTTAATAGCTGTATCTTTGGATTTGTTTGATTGCTCATGTACATAAAATGGAAAATAAATCCCACTGCTGACCCCAAAATAAGCTAGGACTGACTACCTAGCTATTGAATTCTTTATGACGGTCTCTGAACCTCCCAGACGTGAGGACTTGTTTTAAGGATTGAGCCCATCTGGGTCAGGGTTCTTTCCTTTGTGCTGACTCTGAGCTGCTGTTCGGGGGGGACAGTGAGTAACAGAAGAAGACAACTGCCCCCAGGACATACCCTGACAGCATTCCTTCACGCAGTGCTTGCAGAATGGGAAAAAAAAACACTGTAATGACTCTGCCAAAGAGCACAGCTGGTAGGACAAAGCCCTTCACTGCGAGGCTAGGGTCATTTCAATTCATGACGCCTTATACTGTACAGCTGAGAACAAGAAAAGCTGGCTATGTTCACCCATCACGGTGAATCGTAATAACTTTCATGTTTTTTTTGCAAAAAGCGAAGAGTCTGAAAAAGCCGAGGGGAAAAGGGGGCTTGCGCAAAATGGAATATGGCGTTAACAGAACTAGTTTTTGAAGAGACGAGGCAGGTGTCCTTTAGGTTGCTGATGCACTGGCAGACTGTGACCTGTGTGCACTTCCAGCTCGGTTTCAGTGTCGGTGAGTGAACGCAAGCAAGTGCCCAGTCTCAGAACACCTCAGCCCCCCCCCTGGAATTGGACTAACCTTAAGCTGAAAGTCAGAGTGCAGGCGATAGCTGGGAGGAGAACCATTGAGCCCATCCGGCCCGCTCAGCGCTCATTCTAGGCATCATCCAGCTGCTCTCTGCATCCCAGGGAGAGGGCGTGAGCCGGGCTGTCAGAGGAGCTCATCAGAGAACCGGCGCTTCCTCGGCCCGTGCCGAACCCCACTGTGCTCTCTGCGTGATCCCCGCCGCCGTTTCCTCTAGTCTGACAGGCACAGCACACGCTCCGAATGTTTCTGCAGAATGTTCATCTGTGTGTCTCCTTCTCATGAGGCACACCTTTCAGGGTTACGGCTTCTTCCCTGGGGGACAAGGAGAAGTTGCTATGAATTGTGGGACAGCGGAATATTAATGAGCTCTGACGGCGTTCCAAAGTTGCTATGACTTGTGGGACAGCGGAATATTAAT